TTGCAGCCATTTTCGCAGCCGTTGTCGCAGCCATTATCGATACGCAACTGCTGCCTGCGTCGCAGTCATTTTCACAGCCGTTATTTGTGCTCAGTCGTTGTCTGTGTCGCAACCGCAGCCGTGGTCGCAGCCATTGTTTCGCAGCCGTCGTCGCAGCCATTTTGTCGCAGCCGTGGTCGCAGCCATTTTTGCAGCCGTGGTTGCAGCCATTTTTCGCAGCCGTGGTCGCAGTCCTTTTCGCAGCCGTGGTCGCAGCTATTTTCGCAGCCGTGGTAGCAGCCTTTTTTGTAGCCGTGGTCGCAGCCATTTTCGCAGCCGTGGTCGCAGCCATTTTTCGCAGCCGTGGTCGCAGCCATTTTCGCGGCCGTAGTCACAGCCATTTTCGCAGCCGTGGTCGGAGCCATTTTCGCAGCCGTGGTTGCAGCTATTTTCGCAGCCGTGGTCGCAGGAGTGGTCGCAGCTATTTTTGCAGCCGTGGTCGCAGCCATTTTTGCAGCCGTTGTCGCAGCCATTATCGATACGCAACTGCTGCCAGCATCTCAGTCATTTTCACAGCCGTTATTTGTGCTCAGTCATTGTCTGTGTCACAACCGCTGCCTGTGTCGCAGTAGTATTCGCAGCCTTTGTCGGCGTCCCGGTCATTGTCGCAATCGTTGCTGCATCGCAGTCGCTGTTGCAGCAGTTGTCTGCGTCACAATCCTTGCCTGTGTCTCGGTCAGTGTCACATCTGTTGCCGGTGTCGCTTTCATTGTCTGCACCACAGTCGATGTCAAAGCTGTTGTCTATGTCGTTGTCTAAACCTCTACTGTTTTCTATGCTGCCGACATTGCCTGCACCACCTTCCATGGCAGCAGAGTATGAGAAGCCGGCCGTTGATAAGCAGTTTCATGCAGCATGGGCACCAAGCAAGACGCCTGCACTCGGTTAGCAATCCTGACCGGTGATAATGTATTAGACGGATTTCCAAAATGTCATTTCCAATACCTACTAAGGGCAGAAGGAGAGTAGTATTTCTAAAAGTATGTCTAAATGTTCGAACTTATTTATTTTTAGCATCCCCCCACCTCACAACAGAGCAACCGAGTTTTGCATTAAGCTGGGAGTGCCGATTCGAGAAACTGGTAGGATGGCTCTGCTTGGAGCCGCTAGATGGCTCGCAGCTGAGCCAGCAAATGACTCCGCATGGAGCAGGAGAATGACTCCGCATGGAGCCGGCAAATGTCTCCGCATGGAGCCGGGGAATGACTCCGCATGGAGCCGGCGAATGACTCCGCATGGAGCCGGCGAATGACTCCGCATGGAGCCGGCGAATGACTCCGCATGGAGCCGCCAATTACTCCGCATGGAGCCGCCGAATGACTCCGCATGGAGCCGCCAAATGACTCCGCATGGAGCCGCCAATGACTCCGCATGGAGCCGCCAATGACTCCGCATTAGGCCCAGACAGATCCTGCCGGCAATTCTTTCGGCAAAATATCGAAGAATTGAAAGAGCGGAAATTGCCGGCAAAATCGGAGCAAAATATTGAGATGTTGGGTAAAATCGATGCCTGATGCTTGGATTTCCTTGTTCCTTGTCACCCGTTCAGCAGGATACACTGCCCAGGACGAGATCATGTCACCGAAATATCTGAGATTCACTGTGGATCGACTTGATTTTGGAAGAATTCAGGGACACGCGTGTTGAGACCCGTGTTGAGAAACCGACCTTGCGATTTTTATGGAACGTTGTACGGGATTGTACGGGAAGTGGATACAATACACGTTTTCCCGGAGCAAAATGAAGCAAAATATCGATTTTCTTGTGCCAGGCTCGGCAAATTATCGACGATTTCGCAGCAACATTTTGCCGCAAAATATCGAGGCGACCGAAGCAGAATCTTTCTGGGCCTACTCCACATGGAGCCGTCAATGCCTCTGCATGGAGCCGCCAATGACTCTGAGTAGAGCCGCCAAATGCTAAATATATAGAGATGCATAACCAGTTGAGAGCATATATTCTCATGGACTTTACAGATACCGTCATGTGTGCGCCAGAAACATGAGTTGAGCTAGTGGGTGGGAGGCTGGGAAGGAAACCGTTTGGGAACACATGTTCCGCAAGTTGCACGCTCGAAAGTCCAAACAGCAATGACATGCAAGAGACATTGTAGGGCGTGTGCCCACGTGACATGCGCATGCGTGCAGGTTGGGCCAGCTCGCTGGGCTGGCTGCTAACTCGCGTTAGCATGCTAACGCTCATCGCTCAGAAAATGTACGTGTTTAGCACCCCCCTCCCCCCCCCCCCCCAAAAACACAGGCTTAGGGCGCGTTCAGACTGGTGTAAAAAGCAAGCGGAATGTGAAAGTTGTCACGGTGAATCGGTTCCCGCCAGCGCAAACACGGAAAAGGTTTCCCACCACCAAGGTTTCCCTGCAGCCCGCGGTGGGATGCAGATTCCAGCGGAACGAGGCGGGAGCACTTTTGATTATTTTGAGTTTTGACTTCTAGACTGCCAACTTCTTCCATAATGCCGAATGTTCGGCTCAGCAATGGAGAGGGAGCGCATGGAGCTGTACGTGGTGATTTTTGAGGGCTCTGCAGGGAAACCGTTGACTGCAAAAGAGAGGCATACTCTGATCGCTGAGCGGATGAATGCCACCCAAGCAGCACACACTCTGGACATCGTGTTCTTTCTGTCGACAAGCACAAGCAAAAGCACGAGAGCTTTCCTGCGGAGGTATGACTTTGGCCGTATTTCAGCATGGTCGAGTGGAAAATTTCAAAAAGGTTTATTTCAAGAAAACCCCAAAAGGAAGACGGGGGGGGGGGGGGGGGGGGGGCATGCCCTCAGCGCTCGAAGAGACGTTCTACTATCTGCCGGTGTATAGTTCTTGCCAATTAAGGATGTAGCCGGCTGTTTTGCCAGCGCTTGTAAATTGGCTATTTTCAAGCAATTATTTGTTGCGCCAGGGGGTGATTGCCCTCGTCTTCTGAGATCCTGGCTTGGCTAAGCGACACTGCTCCAGACCCTCTTCTAAGGTGAGGCAATATTGGCTTGATGTAGGGAGTCCAGTTCCGGTCGCTGAAAAGCGAAAAATGCAGTCACAGCTCCCCTGTACAAAGTGAATGGGCGCCTCGTGGCTGCACTTCGAGATGCAGTTCGAGGCCCAAGTATCTTCTCCCGCGGCCTTTTCAGCCTTGTCGATGCTATTTTTAGGGAGCTAAGGTCATTACCTGAGTCGAATGGTCTTGGTCCGAGGACGCTGAGACGCTCCCTTCCTCCTTTATTCCCAATCGAACTCGCGCACTTCCACAGAAACAGGGTGACTGCGCCCTACTATAAAGGCATTTGTATGGAAAAAGTCACTAAAATCGCCGTTTCCTTCTCATAAAAGCACGGATGACCGCGATTGGTCCATAGGTTACAGTCTTTTGGCCGCTGAGTCGACTGGTTTTGGTCCGAAAAGGCTGTGATGCAACGTTCGGCCCTTATTCCCAATCGAACACAGTTGAGTAAACGGTCACGTGCTCATGCGTACACCAGTTGCCTGGTCACCGTGCCTGCACTGGCTGCAGGCTACAATTTTCACTTTAAGGTTCAACTCAAAGGTTCAAAGCAGGGAGCCGTAAGAGGCTTTTACGCCTCCCTGGTTCAAAGGTTCAACTCGAGTGACATAAACAGGCCCATATGTAAATGAGCACGTGACCGCTTACTCAACCGTGTTCGATTGGGAATAAGGGCCGAACGCTGCATCGCAGCCTTTTCGAACCAAAACCAGTCGACTCAGCCGCCAAAAGACGACAACATACGGACCGATCGCGGTCATCCTCCCTTTTATAAGAACGAAACGGCGTTTTTAGTGACTTTTTCCATACTAATCCCTATCTAATAGGGCGCAGTCACCCAGTTTCGGTGGAAGTGTGCAAGTTTGATTGGGAATAAAGGAGGAAGGGAGCGTCTCAGCTTCCTTGGACAAAGACCATTCGACTCAGCACCCCGAAGGCTACAACTGGTGAAAATTTTAGGGTAACTTCCCCTTTAAGTTTTTTTGGACCTTGGCGGATGCAAAGGATCCACTCAATCGATCAGGATCCTGATCCAACCAAACGAACATGCCCTAAGCGAGTTCCACGTTACGTCCAACCTCATACCTGCGCTGGGAAGCTGGCCTCTCCGCGACATCTAGCCAGCAATTTCTAATCCAACACTACTCCCATCGCTGCAGAGCAAACTATACTGAGGAAAGGTTTCAAATTCAAAAAAATGCAGGCAAAACCTCAGTCATTTCGGCATCAACTGGCGCACCAGAAAATGTTGGGGTTGGAAGGAGAATCTTGTCATTTGGAGTGACAAGTGATCACCGCTACTTTTTCCTGTACACTTTGTTCTGCAGCGTAAGGAGCAGTGTGGGAGTAGAAATTGCTGACTAGACCAGCTTTCCAGAGCAGGTGTGAGTTTGTACGTATGTCAGCATGGTAGAGTGGAACAATACAAAAAATAGACTTCAAGAAAAGCCAAACAGGATGATCGGGGACATTTCCTCAGTACCAGAAAAGGTGTTCTTCTATCTGCCAATATATAGTTCGTGCTAATTGCAGACGTAGCTTGAGGTTTTATCATCGCTTGTATATCGGCTGTTTTCGACATTATTACTTGTTACGTCAGGGGTGCTGGCTCTAGTCTTCTTTGATGCTGGCGTGGCCAAGCGATGCTACCTCCCGGACCTCTTCTAAGGTGAGGAGGCAATGTTAGCTTGATTTAGTTTTGTTGATAGTTTATTTTGTGTACGCGCCTGTGGTGTGGTTTGGTTCTACACACATACACATACATTATGGGATTTTAGGAACGCTATTTTTCAGGGTACGCCATTTCTCAAGGGATTTTCTTAACACCTGAAAAGGAAACTTAACTGCAACATTAGAGCGAAAGAGGAGAGATCAACTTGCCCACTTGTTCTGGTTTTCTCAGACATGCAGTTTCGTAATAGTTGCACCTTCTGTGTTTAAAGTACTGCTTACCCAAGCAAAGTCCTGAACAGGCCATACCACTCCTTTGCCCTGTCAGCAAAACATCGCACAAATACAAAACAACGTACTTTGATATAACGTTATGTAGAACCAAAGCTTGCACACATACATACGTACACCTGACCACACACTACACACACTCATGAATTCAGACACAAATATCCCAGGCCCGTCGCATCGACTTTGTAGGTGGGGGTGACCATGGAAAGGGGGGGGGGGGGGATGCGGCCTCCCCGGCAAAAATATTTCAACAATTGAAGCCTATTACAAGAATTTCCGGGCATTTGGTGCCATTTCAGTGGAACTACAATGAACGGCCTTTTGATTCGGCAACAAACCAAGAAGACGCTACGATCGGGGACAATAATTTCTTCTTTATCCTCCCCGGGAAAATATTTCAAAAATTGAAGCCCATTGCAAGCATTTTCAGGCACTTGGTGCCATTTCAGTGTAACTGCAATGAATGACTTTTTGATTCTGCAAAAACCACGATAAAAGAGCAGCAATCGCATGTCATCACGAACATTCAAAATCAACATAATTTTGCGAATCGACCTTTTTTTCAGCATCACTTTTCAACGAGGACGAAGCAAAGTCGGCCGAACGAAGCCCAGAGGAAGAAAATCACCCTCTCCACTTCGCCATCACGATACTGACATAGATACGAGACGAAACAACTAAAAAATCCACAAGAAAACTGATCGGCCATCATCAGACTTTGGTCTGAGAATTTCTATCACGATCAAAAATGTACGAGGAGCACTCAAAATAAGCTACAGATGTACCTTTATCACTCTCTACTCCTTTTTCAAGACACAAAAGTCGACTCTCCACTTTCAAACCAGGAACCAGACATACCAGTGGTCCTTTTCAGCTGCTCCACGAGCACAGGAAATGCTCACCAAGGGGCTCAGAGAAGCATCCATTCCAGAAAAAGAGCTAAAATACGAGTGAGACTGCATGCCTGAGTACATGCATGAGTACATGCAGAAAATAGTCAATTTCAGCGTTTCTGCTCCAAACAGCAACTTGCTTCGACTAGCTACAAAGATTACACCAAAGGATCAAACAACCGTTTTCTTCATTTTTTTGACAGGTGGGATCCTTGTGCTTGGCCCAGCACGCCAAAAATCACACCTCGGCGGAGTACAAAAATTACAACTCCCAGATGTCCTCGATTGCTGGCCATGAGTGTGCTCCGAAAAAAATACTGGCGAAAAAGTGGGGTGGCTGTGACGGCCTCACATCCATCCATACACAGGCATGCATACACAGAATCGATTCTGCTCCATTCATTTCGCAACCGGAATCGGATCTGCACTCAACAAACGCAGTCGCGTGCATCAAACAAACGCACCCGAACCAAAACACGGCGGAAGGACTTTGGAATGTTGTCGGAATGTCACCGAACAAACGCAACCTCATTTTCTCTACAGAAAAATGGAACAGATTACCTAGAGACGTCCGCTCCAGCACAACGCTGGACGTTCAAAGCTGCAGTGGTACCCCTTACACTTTTGGTCCCAGACTGTGCATGTTGTATTCCTTGTTCAATACCGGCAACAGTAGCTCATGCCATGTTTGACAATGGATCAATACTATTGATCTCCAGCTGACTATCACACTTTTTCTCTTTTTTATTCCCAGTTCACTACCTTCTTATTGGGAAGAAATGCCCGTTGGGATTTGCAAAATACAACAAAGTCAAAAAAAAGAATTAGCCTGGTATACACCACACGGCTGGTTGACGTGGCTTTTCTGGCCAGTGAATGCTATTTTCTCTCTCTCTCTCTCTCTCTCTCTCTCTCTCTCTCTCTCTCTCTCTCTCTCTCCCTCTCTCTCTCGCACACACACACACGCACAGATCAACGGACACGCACACGCACACCACCCCCACCCCACCCCCCCCCCCCCCCACATACACACATCTATATGTTGCGAAATACGATTCAATTATTATTTACGCACATTGTCGTATATGGTTCTTGTCTTGTAGAATCCAGTGTCTGACGTCATGGTCTAGTCTATATGTGAGTATAGTAGGATGTGTGCCGTGTATTGTATGAGGTGCATGCAAGAGTGTGTATAGTCAGAGACTGACTTGCATTCGTAGTGCTAGCTTTGTCAGAGAGCGAGGGTGATCAGTGGTGCGTCCGTGGTCTGGTTGTCTTGGTCTGGGTCATGTGGTCTGTACGTATTCGTCCCTGATTGGTCTTCGCCTCATATCAGTGTGTACCCCTTTGAAGTTGAAGTACTCGACATGACTCCCAACCAGGGTACAAGCAACCCGGTGTTCTTCTTCCAAAACGGGTCCAAATACCCCCCCCCCCCCCGCCCCCGCAACGGGTCACTGACCCCCGCTTGACCCGGCTCTGGAGCAGACACTACCGCGGACTATGGATGGAGTGCATGGAACATACAGTATACAGCACACAAGGCTGACAGCAGAGAGCCAGACCAGAACTAAAAATTACCATTACAAGATCACGCATATAGCGTACAGCAATCAAAAGCAAAGCGCATTCATACATGCCATTCCTACCTGATGGTGGAGCTTGTCAACCAGATCCACATTCTTTGAATTCGCTGCCGACTATATCTTTGCTATTGTCGCTCTGTCTATCCTCTCACCTTTCTTCAACCCTCAAGTCTTCTGTAGAACTTCTTTCCAGTCGGTCTCTCTGCTCTTCTCTCTACGCTTCATCTCAACAACGTTTCTCTTCTCCATTTCTTCGTTCCTGTACTTCTCTAAACTTCTCTTCTCTCTACTACCTGCATCTTTCTAATAGTTAGTTCTCTTCGTTTGAATGATTTTCTTCAACATGATCATGATCATGACTTATGACTATGTAGTCGACTGTGTTTTTGCACTTTGAGCTTGAGCTTGATTTTCTTTCATGTCTTTTTTGCCGAATGTACAGTGCGCTAGTGCGCTGTCGACATGCCTATCATCCTGGTCATGTCGTGCACTACACACATGCACTCAGTCTGTCTGTCTACCATGGTCTACGTCTACAATCTAGTCGGTGCATGTGCGCACGGCACGTGCGCTGTGTGTGAATAATGCATGCAGCGCAGCTACTGTTGTAGACATGGAAATCCGGTCGCACGTCTAGCGGCCCCAGGCCAGGGCGCTGGCCATGCAGCCGTGGACAAGCTGCACCCACATGCGCTGCATGCAGCGCTAGCGCGATCGTCGCATCGGATCAACAAGTGCACTGCACGCAGCGTTCTGTACGCGCGCTGAGGTCGCCGGCCCCGCGTCAATCGACTGGATTTCCATGTCCGCTACAGACAGTACATGACATACATGTACATGTACTTACATACATACATGTGATTGTAGCCATCATGGTCATCATGGTCATTGTAGCTATCTAGCCATGCGCTTTCTTTGATAGTTGCTGTTTCTGTGAGACGCGTGAGGGCGAAATGCTATGCCTCCATTTTCGTACATGATCTCGCCTCTTGGTGCGCGAGGCGCCGAGCCCATCTCCTGTCTTTTTTTTTGTTCAGAGGTTTTCAGAATGGCTAGTACCAAGAGTAAATGCCCCCTCCCCCCCCCCCCCCCCCCACCGTGAAAAGTGCAACAAGTATTTGCTGCAGGTTGAACTGGCAAACAGCCACCGAGTCGCCGACGCCCTATAAAACGGTATAGACCAGCGCCTCGCTAGCGTCTTCCCTCCCTCCTCTCCTCTCTCATTCTGCATCTCTCATGCACGACCATCTAGCATCTACCCATTGTCCCTTTTCCTCTCTATTATTTTTATTAATCTGTTTTTCTTCTTGAACTCTGTTACTCTTTCACGAATGCTTGATATTTCTGTGAGTGGGAGATCCCCTGGACAGGCCTAGAGCCTCTGGGTGATCCTTTTAAAACTTCAATAAATTGGTGTTTGTGCTTGGTGGGAAGTATACCTACACATACTACATTCCATTTATCAATGGGGCAAGGCATTTTACATTCATTTTTCATTTATATCCAGAGACCGTTTGTCAGTCTTCTTCTTCGTCCCTTTGAGAGTAGTCTCCATTTCCGTCTTGTCAAAAATATAATGTTAAACACCAAAACAAATGCAACCACCATTCATTACCTCTTTCTCCTTCCCTCCTTCTTATCAACCACCACACCACACCGCTGCGCTCTCCGGCTGACCTCAATGCTGCTACTTACCCCTCTTGATCCTTCCGTCCTCATAAAGTAAAAATAAAATATACGGCCATGGGCTGGTGGTGTGTGTGTGTGTGGTGTGTGTGTGTGGGGGGGGGGGGTGGGGGGGGGGGGGATGTAGTCCTACTGGCCCAAGTTTAACAACAAAAATGTATGACATGTACCACGACTTGTTTTTTGCTGCTACATGTACATGTTGTGGAAGAAGAAGGACATACACTGGCATTGACACAGGGATATTCATGGCTTACAGCTTGCCTTGCCGGCATGCCGTCTACACACATACATGTAGTGATGTAGGTTTAGCTGATCGATCCTCTTCAATTTTCCCCTCCATTTAGCTCAAATTTCGTAGTGCGGACGAAGGAGTGGTTTTCCGTACAGATACGGAAAAATGCTGAAGGTTATCGTTTCCAAGAATTCACTCGAATGGAGAGCCAAGGATAAATTTATAGAAAAGAAAAAAGACCAATGAACTACAAGTTACGCTATAATGTCCACTCGTGCTTGTCTGCGTTGCGCTCACCATCCCCTCCTGTTGTTTTTTCTATAACTTTGAACCTTCCAAGTTGGAAGGCTGTTGGAGTGCACATCCAAGATGTGCGAGAGCTGTTAGCCAGTTAGTTGTAGAACGCCAGCACCGTCGGTCAGTGTCGTGCAATGTTATCGCATGAGCTGATTCTTTAGTAACTGGTGGTGTTAGTGGACATTATAGCGTAGCTTTTAGTTCCTTGGTCCTTTTTCTTTTCTATAAAGTTATCTTTTCCGTTCCCAAAGCGAACTCACGACGGCGGCTGAACACCGGGCAACCTGATATTGTGATAACCCCCTAGCGGCAGATGCAGCGCCTAACGGTGGGTGTGAGGGGATACCAAAAAGTCTACAACCATTGCAGGCACAAGTGCTGATCCGCATGATGACTTGAACCAAGTACACTAGTAGTACGCAGTAGTACATGACGTCATTGTACTTCAATCATGCTCTTTAACCAACTCACTGTACATTGTACTTCAATCATGCTCTTTAACCAACTCACTGTACATTATACTTCAATCATGCTCTTTAACCAACTCACTGTACATTGTACTTCAATCATGCTCTTTGACCAACTCACTGTACATTATACTTCAATCATGCTCTTTAACCAACTCACTGTACATTGCACTTCAATCATGCTCTTTAACCAACTCACTGTACATTGTACTTCAATCATGCTCTTTGACCAACTCACTGTACATTATACTTCAATCATGCTCTTTAACCAACTCACTGTACATTGCACTTCAATCATGCTCTTTAACCAACTCACTGTACATTGTACTTCAATCATGCTCTTTAACCAACTCACTGTACATTGTACTTCAATCATGCTCTTTAACCAACTCACTGTACATTGTACTTCAATCATGCTCTTTGACCAACTCACTGTACATTATACTTCAATCATGCTCTTTAACCAACTCACTGTACATTGCACTTCAATCATGCTCTTTAACCAACTCACTGTACATTGTACTTCAATCATGCTCTTTAACCAACTCACTGTACATTATACTTCAATCATGCTCTTTAACCAACTCACTGTACATTGTACTTCAATCATGCTCTTTAACCAACTCACTGTACATTATACTTCAATCATGCTCTTTAACCAACTCACTGTACATTGTACTTCAATCATGCTCTTTAACCAACTCACTGTACATTGTACTTCAATCATGCTCTTTGACTCAGGCAACTCACTGTACAGTGCCTGTCTGATCAACATGATCAAAAGCAAAGCGCATACGTATTGTACTGTCGCGGACATGGAAATCCAGTCGATTGTCCGGGGCCGGCGCCCTCAGCGCGTACGTCGTCGTTATATGCAGCGCACATGTTGATACGATGCGACCAGCAGCAGCGCGTAATAGTAATACCAGGGAGTCGTATAGACCCCCTGGTAATACTGCATGCCATGGCGGCATGGCCAGCAGACGTGCGACCGGATTTCCATGCCCACGACAGTACAATGTCATGTACATGATGTACTATGGTGTGGAGCAGACTGCGAGTCTGTGAGTGTGACAGACCCGTCGACGACCACTGATATCATTTACATGTACATGCATGACGGGTAGTTTTACTGTTACAGCTACTTGTTGCAATGTTGGGCAGAAGAGTCACCAGGTCACGTGGTCACGCTGACTGTTGACTACCACTACCAGTAGTACTACAAAGTACTACAAGTACAACTCAATACAAGTGCTGAGAGTCACCAGGTCACGTGGTAACGCTGACTGATAACTACTAGTACTACTACAAGTACTAGTAGTAGTAGTAACGTCATTACTGACATTAGTTACAAGTACTACTACTACTAGTACTGAGTACTTGAGAACGGTTTTATTGTGCACAACACCATGAAGGAAGAGTAGTAGTAGTAGTATTGACATATCCGTGGCAAGCCGCTTATGTACAACGGCATGGGAGAGGATAACAAAAAAATGAAAATATATTGTTGGGGAAATCCACGCTATTATCGAATATTCAACAATGACGGGTGTGGGGTTATACCAAATTCCCATAATGTGGAAGTACGTTATTATTGTTGAAAGCACTAGGTGATCTGCACTCTACAAGGTGACCTGTGCGATTATATCGTTAAGGGGGCAGCCTACCCATAAATTTCATATGGCATTCAATTGACCGTAACTTTGGTGTTTCTCAGTGGATTTGAGTGAAATTTTGACCACACACTCCTGCCACTATGCTGGCCCTCAGGACATGATTTACAAGTTCTTGCGCCTCACTGACAGGCTTTCCAGGCCGGAAAAACTCAAATTTCCGGCATAGTGCCACGGTGTGCGAGCCACCCAGGAGTCAAACAAATGCATTTACATTTTTTCACATTTTCGTGCCCATTCTGTCCGTGCGCGGGACCCAAACCTAAAACAAGTCCAGAAGCAGCCATGGGTGGTGGGGTAGGGCCCCTCAACGTGGCCCTGGAATCTGTCACAACGGAACGAGTGGGCGTTCTCTCGCGGACTCCCACAGACCCAAGTCAATTTTTGAATTTTTTAGGTTTAGGGTGTGCTACGAGGTCGTACCTTTGATACAACATCCAGTGCTGGGACCTCCACAGCAAGCCATTTCCACAGCGCTGCACACCAAATCCAGGATGCCCTCAGAAACCGGCAAAGACTGCCACTCACGTTTCACTACTGCCTAGTACTGAATCCTACCTGACTTCTTGACACGACTCAAACTTGCCAAAGTCACTAAATCAACGTCAACTACAATAATCAAGCCACATATCTGCAACGTCACGAGGGTGCTGGCAAAAGTCCTGCTGCACGGCGGCGGGCTTCGCCCGCCGCCGTGCAGCCCAATACGTGGTTTTTTAACGTGATTTTTTGGACTTTTTTGGACTTGGGGCAAAATTCTGCACACTTTCGCGTGTTTCCATAATACGACAAGTTGCGCACGGTCTGCTCACATTCAAATACAGTGCTGCCAACAAATGACAGCATGCAACAAAAAAATCTTTCCTTGCAAGGGCACATTTTCGGCCATAACTCTTGAACGGCTGGTCAGATAGGGACACAATTTTCAGAGAATTTGCAGCTATTCATGCTCTTTTAACTGACGTAGCACTCAATATGAATTTACAAATTCG